TAAATAAATAAATAAAATAAGATAAAATAAAACTAGACAGACAAGATATAGTGAGCACATATTAAAAATAGTCTAAGTCAACTTCTTGGTTAGCCCAGTAGTAACTGGTTTTAGAGAGCAAATAGATCTCTAAAATGACAGTGGCTTTGATTTTAGCAGTTAAAAGTAAATAGAGGGCCAGGTATGGTGGCTTGGGTCACACCTGTGATCCTAGTACTTTGGGAGGCCAAAGAAGGAGAATCCCTCGAAGCCAGGAGTACAAGACCAGTCTGAGCAACATAGCGAGACCCTCATCTCCACAAAAAAATGTCTTAAACTTAGCCTGGCATGGTGGTGTGCACCTGTAGTCCCATCTACTTGAGAGGCTGAGGTAGGAGGATCACTTGAGCCTAGGAGTTGCTGTGAGTTACCATGCCACTGCACTCCAGCTTGGGCAACAGAGTGAGTGAGACCTTCTCTCTTTAAAAAAAAAAAAAGAAAAGAAAAGAAATAAGAAGAATGAGGACTGACTACCTGATTACATGGTCTGTTAGATTTTGGTAGAAATTCTTTATGTGGTTGTTACCCTGAAAATCTTTTTGCATCGTCAGCAAACTTGGAAACCAATTTGAGATCATGACTCTGATAATATAAAAAGAACAGGGCTTGGCACTTAGTAAGTACTTAGGAAATATTTAATGAAGGAATAAATTTCCCCATCCCTTCCTCCCAAGTAAGAAAGATTCTTGCCAGCTTTCATAGGTAGGAAGAAAAATAGCAAAAATAGGAAATAAATAATTGGTAGCCTATTAGACACTATGTGCTGTGCTTTTTAGAGCACTTCATAAGAAATATCCTGTATTATTTTAATAACAGACCTAAGTTATCGTATTAAAATTTTACATAATTATTCTCTTTAAAAACATTATTTAAATTTTGTGTCACTGCATTATTTTTGAAGTATTAGGTAAACTTAACATTGGCGGGGAGTAAAGTTCTATGAGGCAAAGGTATGCTGTGCTGTTTATAAGCAAAGTTTTGTTTTTTAGTAAGTGACTAACAGGGAATTTTACATTTTACATTACATTTTACGTTTCTACTAATTAGAAAGAAAGCTAGAAAAAAAAGCTTTGATCTCAAGATATTCTTTTATTGAAATTCCTTCCAAACCTAGTTTTTCCCTTTGGTTTGCTCTTTTGTTTTTATTCATCTTCTCTCTTCTGACTTTTTCTTGCCCTTTTGGCAGTGGCAGTAACACAATGGTACCTTTGTACTTTTATGTTCTGCTGGGAAGGATAGTAGTGGATTTTTTTTTTCCTGTGGTAAACATGGCTCCTGCTTTGGGACTTGCTGGGGAAATTTTGAAAGCTAAGTGAGTATATTGCTAGCTAATAAACTTCCCTAAGATTTAGCTCTTTTCACTTGAGTTCATATTTTGGCTTTCAAGCCTTTTCGAATCATGCTTTTACCAGCTCTATTACTTCATATGCCTTATCTTACTTAGTGACTGGGTTAAGTGGAGTAGCCAATGGTGAGCATGTGTTATATTTGTAATTAAGTCATTTTCTCATATATTTGTTTCCATTTTTCTTCCTGATAATTTTGGTATAAAGAGAAAATAATTCCCAAAGTGGATATTCTCTTATGTTATGGTGGGAGAATTCTGAAACTAACTATTATGATTCTAAATGAATGGCATCTTTTCCCAGTAAATCTGTTTCTCCAAACTGAAGTGTAGTATACATAAATTTTTAGGGCTATAAATGATAGTTGTATACCATAGTTGAAAAAAATTTATAAAGCTGCATTTTTGTGATATATATGGTTACTAGTGCTTTTGTCTAAAGTTTGAACCAAAGCTCCATGAGATAAGGGTCTGTGTTGTCTTGTTTTACTGCTGTCTCCCAATGCCTAGAATGGTATTTAGCTTGTAGATACACGATAACTACTTCTATGAATGGATAGATGGATGGATGAACATCAAAGTAACAAATTATGAGTTAGGTGTTGGATGCCCAGAATTCCTAGAATAAGATGCCATGTGCTGGTGGATTAAAGAATTCTAATTTGGTTTTTAAAATATTTTTTAAATGATTATTCTGCCTAGTCTAATCCAATTAAGAGTCTTTAATTTCGAAGGAATTTTTTGGTCTAGAAGGAGCTTAGAGAGATGAAACCCATGTGTCTCTGTTGGCTTTTGGGGTTTTTATAGGTGGCTTTTTTTTTTTTTTTTGACACATTCTGATAAATGGTCAACTGTAATATGTGAAAAAATTTTGAGCAGGCTTATAGTTTTATTCCATAATTTTCTCTGCAGTTTCTTTGATATTATAGATTAATGCTTTTTTCTAGTTAGGCTGATAACATACTTCTCCCAAATGTTGCAGAGCTTTTAACCTCTTCTGATTTAGTACCATTTCAGGAAGTAGCCTGCAAACACTGAAAAATATGTAAAATTTTAAGAGTAATCCTTTCTAGAGAAAGAGATTTTTAATTCAGAGTCTCTAACATAAATTTTTCTATTATGTTTAGCTATTTAATTTTTATTTTTTTAGTCAGTAGGATCTTAATTAAATGCCAGAGGTTGAAAAAAGAACTCTTAAGTCAATTGAAGGATACACAGAGAAATATTTTACATATCAAGAAAAAATTATGTAGACACAAAGAAATGTTTTTAGTGTGTGGTCTACTTGTAATGTTCTATATAAAATTTATCAAAAGCTAGGGATTGACGAAAATGTAAATATTTAATATCCTCAAATTCACTTGGGGAGAGCTTTTCTGTGATTCATAGCCAGAAATAGTAGACATGATTGGGTCTCAACATATCTTGCTATTTTAGTGCTTGACTTAAAAATGTAATAAAAATTAAAACCCAGAATTAAAATTCATCCCTCAAAATTCAGTTGATTTCTGATTTTTTTGTTGATTCCATTTGTGTTACATTTTATTGTATAATTTTATGTACAAGCCAACATTGTTTTTGTTGCTGTATGTAGTCGGTGCTGTGACTTGTTTGTGCTCATCTCTGTTCTGTAGGCAACTTGCCACTCCCTACTGAATAAAGCTACAGTAAAAGAAAAAAAGGAAAACAAAAAATCAGTAAGTTTGGAGAACTTTTTATTAGCTGTTTCTTTCAAAGCAAAACAAAAATCTTTTGCTGTTTGTTAAGAACATCTTCACTTCAGCCTATTTGACCTTCACTGTAAAATCATTCTACTAATTCTGGCACAAAATAGCTTTCATTTCAATTAACCCTGGAATTAAGTTACATTGAAACATTCTCTGTGTTCCTTTGGTTTGATTTATTCCACAGGCATTTTGTGGGCATTTGTTGCATTGAATATCCTCGATCTAATTTTATTATTGTTATTTTTTAAATTATAAGTGAATGCAAAAGAAACTTAATTTCAAGGCCTTAGGAAATGCTGACTCTCTTCATTCTTGCTTCTCGTTTGCAGGTAATGTGAGTGGTTTCTTTGCTAAGAATGAAAGTTTTTCTTAATTTTTAGAAGTATATGGCAGGAAAATGTCACTTTCTAAATCTTACCTAAAAGTTGCTAAATTTTATTTTTTATTCCTAAGTAAGAGTGATACCCTTAGACCAACGAGCCACCAATTTTTTATTCCTTGTAATTTTATCTAGACAGTGTAAGCCAGAATTTAGATGTTTATGCTCAGATTATAGAAATTCTAATGGTAAGACCACTTTTACCTTGGAGAAAATCTAAGGTAAATGATAACTCAGTGAATACATATTTGTAGAGAAACACCTCATTTTGCAAACATGGTATGAATATTCTACCTTCTTCTATGAACTTGCCTTAATTTATTTAAAAGGAGGTAAGTTATGATAGTCATAATTATTTTCTTCCAGTGAATAGAATTTTCCCCAAAATGTTAATATAACATGTATTCATTTTAAATTTGCCATTATCTGTCACTGTGACTTATCCTTATCAAACTGAGTCCTACCTTTGTTTTTCTAATGACAAAGTGATTGTTTTAAAAAAGTCCGCATGATTGTTAACAACAGAAAATTTTTAGGGGTCAGGTAGATAGTTTTCTTAAAAAGGTATAATTTAGAATATAGTGTTCATCTGATTTCATCTTTCAGTCCTTGTCTATGCTTTACATATAAATTATGTAAGCTTTAAATATAAATTTCTGTTATAAATTCAAAACAAAATTAAAATTTAAAGATATATGCTTTTATTGTGTCCATTCAAGATTTTATTTTTGAGTACGTTAAGTGTATTCGATCATCTGTGAACAAATGGATTGAATTGGATAGCCTTCTTGCCCAGTAAAGACATCTCTTTCTAATGCTTCAGCCTTCTAATTCTCAGCATATGTGGGTTTAACATAATATACACCATCACTATTGAAATTAATTTACTGTTTCTAACACCCTTGTTCAGTGTTATACTAATACCATTGTGTAGTATATCACATAAATTAAAATTTAGACTTTCAGTGTTTTTCTAGAGCATGTTTTCTATTTAAAATTAAACCTAACATTGCTTTATTCATTAAGATTTTGTCTAAAATTGTTCCTTGAATTTTCTTTCTGCTAGAGTTATTTTCAGATTTTTTTTAAGTCTCTGGGTAACACTAAGATTTGGAATGTATTTCTCAGCACAGGTGATGTGAGCTCCTCGTCGAAACAAGGGGAATATAATTGGTAATTTGAGATATTTTAGAGCACATTCCAAAGTATAAAGACAGAATAGTCATTATAAATTTAAAATGTTGTTTTACGGAATTGTTTGCTTAACAGAATCTAATGATCTTTTCTTTTAAGAGCAAGCTGACTTTCTTTTGGGGGGTATATGTATCATGGATTGAAATATATAAAATATAGAGAGAAGATTCTGTATTTTGGTATAGTCATATTACAGATAATTCTGTTCATTATACTTAAACATATAATCTATAATTAGATTTGCTTTGGAAGTTAACTGCCTGCCTACTTCAGGGAGAATTTCCAATAATTAATCATGTATGGATAGCAGTGCTCTTGCTGATGGTGCCGCTTATGACTGCATTTATTTCCATCATGTAGTTCTGCTTTTACCAAAGGAAGTAAAGGGGACAGTTGGCTGACAACTCGTCTCAATACATAGACTGGCCCAAGTTTGACCTTTTATGCAGAATATCTTTTAGATCCAAATTAGATTTTTATGGATTAAAAAAACACGAATATGTGTGTATTGATGTTGATTAGTGTTGAATGAAAAAAGCAATCCTTTTATAAATTGACTGAAATTCTTGAAACTTATTATATAGCATTTTTATTGATATTATGTTTTTATCAGTTTTTAGTTCCAAAAATGCATTAATTCTACCATCAGTGAGATACATGAAAAAATGTATGTTCCTGAGATATAGATACTTTTTGTTTTGACATGAATTATTTTTAAAGATGTGGAAGATGGTGGAAGTGTTTGGGAAATAATTCACTCAGATTTTCGTTAAATTCTGACACTGAGTACTGTTAAGTATAAATCAGACATAAATGTAAGTTGTACTTTAAAACTTCTTTGTCCTAGAGAAAACCAGTAAATAGCTATTTTCAAAAACTGTATTTTGACTAATTGATCACAACCAGTGACAGATTTCCCTGTTCCTTCTCCACTCCCACGGCTTCACTTCACTAGCCTAAAAAAAAAGAGGGGAAAAAAAGGTATTTTGAAAGAGCTCTCCATGTGCATATAAATTATTGATTTTTATGAGGCATTTTCACAGCTGATTAATATTTATTTTATAAACTAGCTGGTTCTTTGAAAACCAAGTATGGTTTGATTTAGCTTTTTGAGAAGTTAAAGTGATTACATGCTAATTCTTTAGACCAGTCTATTTAAAATTAAATATAAAGCAGTTTTTAGTCCTCTTCCTTCTTGCTAACTCATTCCTTAAAGGCTTTAAGATCTTGCAGGTTTGTCGATGTTTTATCTGTTTTATTTATTTTTTTTGAAACAGAGTCTCACTGTGTTGCCTGGGCTAGAGTGCC